TATTTATGTATCTCATATATTAAATTTTCATATAATAAAAATAACAAATTTAATAAATAAATTTGAAAATTTGAATATTTATATTGGATATTTGAGAATATTTTGAGATGCGTAAAAATCATCTGGTTGTATGATATGTATGCAATGTTAAAAATCTTCATTGCAATGTGATATGAAACTTTTTTGCGTCTCTATATAGTATAGAAATATAATTTTTGTTATTGTAATGAATCTCGCTAATAGTAAAAGATTAGAGGGCGGTGTATATTGCGGTTAGAATTCGAGAACGAGTTTAATCTTGTGAAATATGCAAACTTTATGATGCAATTTGCGTGCATCATCAAGTTACGTGTCATGACAATGATGCTGTGATTGTATCAAGTGATTATCGATGAGGGAACGGCATTCAAAGCGACCTTGTCTTTTTAATCAATAATATTACTTTATGCTGAGTCGCGTCTAGACATTCAGCCGCCTGTATATGTAATAACTTTTTTGTTACCTCAGAAGAGTACAAGATATATATAAGAAAACAAAAGAAAAATAATATATGTTTTTATAATACAAATAGATATTTATAATTACCTTGTAACAATTTTTATGAAAGTGAACGATGAGAAAGAGTGACAGATATCTACACATTTGTAGATGTCTGTACTCAGAACATTATAACAAAGATGTATTATAAAAATATTATATGTATATAGACATAAAAAGTTATAAAATAAATGAAATGAAATTTAAAATTATTTGGATAACTATCAAACCTTTCAAAGAATTTCAAACAACTATAAAAAAATATCAAACAACTATATATAAAAAAATATCAAAAAAAAAATTGCATGTTTAGAGAAATCATTAATTATTAGTTAACTTCATACGAATAAGTTCTGTCCTATAAAATACTTTAAAGATCTTAGATGAAGTATCTATTTTAAAGTAGTGATGTAACAAATTCAAATATTCATTAATTAATAAATAATAATTAGTATTATTATATATATATATATATATATATATATAAATTATATTTGAAATTGATTTTCAGATTTATTATATTCAAATGCAATGTACTAGTGATATACTGCATTTTAAATTCCGCGTACTCTATAGTTTCTATAATACATTGTTGACGCTGCTTTCAGCGGAGAGAGTGACTTTGCCATGTCGTAAAGATCCTTTAATATGATTGGCTCTTGTCCCTAATTCCTCACTGAATCTAAACGTATAAACCAATCATATTAAAGAATCTTAAAACAGCTCCTTTTTTTGCTGAATGCAGCCAATGACATCTGATTTGTTGCGTTCCGTATGGCTCTTGGCTCTCGTTCGTATGAATCGTGCAGAGGAATTCTAAAATTTGTATTTTCATTATCGGATATATCTTCGGCCGTGTATGACGCCAATGGATTGCACCATCTTTTGGCTGCGGTAGTAGTCACTAGTATTCTATCGAAGGAGCGTTCTGTAGCTTTATGCAACGTGCTTTACGAGAATATTCCTTGGAGTTGATCACTGCTGGAGCGGCGTTCTTTCCACTCTCGGCTTTTCTCAATTTCGCGAGATAACGCTAATCTCCAAATCATCTGGTTTCAACGTAGTGTCTCCGAATAATAACAAAGCGATCGAGCTCAATTCTGCTATTGTTTTCAGCCTAAAATACAATATAATCGCAGCGCGATATCACAACATCCCCTGGACATCGCCTGGTGAGCTGTGCTTCGGAATCTGAACACGTGGCACGTGATCGCATGGATTTCAAGGATCTCGCGAGGGTTTGGGGTCACGCGCGCAGCGTTTGACGTCGACGTGGTGGCAACAAAGGAGCTCAACGGCGCCGCCGCGCAAAAACCGCTTTGTTGCAGTTTATTTTTGCATTCGGAATCGCTATATTTTTGCGCGCAACGCGATCTTAAAATAGATCGCGACGACGACGGCGGTGGCGGCGGGCAGTAGTGTGTGATGTATTTTCCGCACGCTGACGAGGAGCGAGGATCATGAGTTTTGAGGTTACCCCGTTTTTGGGTGATCGCAGCTGATTCTACTCCGGAACGTCGCGCGGTCGAGGAAGATAGAACGACAGAGGGAGAGGAGAGAGGAGGAGGGCACGAGGATGGACACCACGTGCGAGATAATCGAGGAGCCTCAGCAGTCGCTGGCCAAGCGGATTTACTATTCGGCGAAAGATGGAATGGCGATTGCTCTTTATACCCTGCTGTACGACAAGTCCGAGGTCGACATCAATCAGTTGATTAACAAGGTAAGCCGCATTTGCGTTACATCTCATTTTTATATCGCCGCTTTAATATTCATTTCTTACTAATTGTATATTAATCTTAATTACGATTTAATTTACTTTCTATCTTTTTTTCTAATTTTTAGAACTTAAAAAATATTTAAAATAAAATAAATTAAACCTGAGATTAAAGTTAATCTACATAGAAGTATTAATCGCTTGTAAAGTCACCTGTTGACTAGCCCGACTTGATCATGAAATATTCGTCATCACCGCTTGGCTTATTATTTTTAGAAAATTGCAATGAGCAATTGTAATAAGCACTGTATGCAGGATAATTTGTTATTTTCAAGGAATACTTGATTATATCATTTTTAGATAGAGAGCAGCAGGATATAGAGGAAATATTTGAAATAACTTCAAAATTATACATATATTAAATGCATAAAATGTAATTATTTATATTTCTTAGATAAGATTCAATAATGAGATTTTAGAAAAAATAATAATACAATAAAATAGAAAAGAATGTTTACTATTGTTATATATAGTTTTATTATTACAAGTGTGTGTATTTATTAAATATCTTGATAAAGATACACTAAATAAAAATTTTATGTGTGAATTATTTTTATTAAACAAATATTCAATTTGATATTTTTTTTATCTAATTAAAAAAAAAGAGAAAAAATACATATGGATTGTAATATAACTTTCATTCTATATTGAAAATTTATCAGGAAACTAAACAAAAAATATTTAAAAAATACTAGACCAAGATAAAAATTTGATCCAATTAGTATATATATTTGACTACTTAAAAATCCTATTATATTTAGATTTATGTTATTAGATAATATATGTTGTTATATATTTATTATTAATTTTAATCACAAATTATGTTGATAATTAAAGTTAGTATAATTAAAGTTTCCAGACTAAATTGTTCTTATATAAATATCAAAAGTGTGTGACACTAATACCTATAAAGAATTATTCAGGACAACTTGCAACATAAGGCTCTAAATATATACATGTATACATAGAGAAACTATAGATATTGTTTATAATAACATGAATTATAAAATTTCTTTTATTTAACAAAATCTTTTTGTTATATTTATGTTATATTAATTTCAGAAATCATTATACACACAAACTAGTAACAAAGTACTATATAATCTTTTTTTTTTTTTTTCATTAAATATTCACTTATTATAGCAAAACATAATCTTGATAACTGTTCATAATTTACAGAAAGTACAGTTTATGAAATTATAAATTTGAATTGACAGAAAATTGTAGAAGATGATGGACAATGTTGCACGCCTTTAGTGATTGCCGCACGTTACGGGCATAACAAAGTAGTTAGACTGTTGCTTGAAAAGTTCAATCCTGATTTAGAACAGGAAGGAACCGTCAAATTCAATGGATACGTTATTGAAGGAGCCACAGCGCTTTGGGCCGCAGCAGGTACAGCAAAAGAAACAAAATATATACAGACATTATAATAATTTTTTAGCGATACTTTTTTCTGAATAGTACATGTCGATTTCAGGAGCAGGACACCTGAATGTTCTTAAAACTCTCGTGAAAGCAGGAGCGAACGTGAATCACGCAACAAAAACTAACTCTACTCCGCTTCGAGCGGCATGTTTCAATGGACGTTTGGACATCGTTAAATATTTGGTCAATCACCAAGCGGATATACATATTCCCAATTCATTCAACAACACTTGCCTTATGATAGCATCATACAAGGGACATCTTGATATCGTGAGTATGCTTATATGAATTACAATATAAAAGTTATTGTTCTATGTTTGTTTATTATACGTATCATTTCGTGTATATATTTCTAAATGTTTTCCTCTGATACAGGTTACTTTTCTATTGGAAAAAGGGGCAGATCCGAACAAAAAAGCGTATTGTGGAGCGACGGCTTTGCATTTTGCCGCCGAGTGTGGACACGTGGTCATTGTACGCGAACTGCTGCAATATGGAGCGCAAGTGACAACGAATGTGAATGGTATGACGCCTTTAATAACGGCCGCCGAGCGAACGCGCGAGGATGTCGTTATATATTTAACACAAAGGAAAGAAACGACAAAGGAGGAGGAAATAGATGCCTTCGAGCTACTTGGAGCATCTTACGCTAATGATAAAGACAATTATTGTCTAATTAAGGCGTACACATATCTACGCAGAGCAATGGAATTAAGGTAAAGGGAAAAGGATCTCTGGTTTTTTTTTCCCCCATTATTACATATTGTTTTTTCTTCTGTTCTAGATACAGTGATCCTGATAATATTATATATAAGCGATTAGGTTCGATTGTAAAAGCGTACGAAAATTGGAAGGAATGCGAGACATTAGAAAAATTGGAGAGTATCAAAGATAATCCTAATGCCATACACATGGAATCGCTCGCTATTCGAGAGAGAATATTAGGTAGATATACTTATAATATCCATATTGAAATTTGGCTTATCGACGAGCTAAATATTTTGGCTCTAATCCGAATCCGCTGGATCGAACCTGGATTTTTAGAATAGTAGACCGATACGCTATCTATTATGTCACGCTTGTTCATTTGTTTTACATATATTTATAAATAATAATTGTAAAGATGCTAATAATGATAAACTTAGAAGATGAAAAATCAAAAAATAGATAAATAATAATTAACGATTTGCCGAATTTATTGCACTGAGAATAACTTCATCAAAAATCAGACGTTTGTGATTTTGATTATTATGCATATTTAACAATTGAAGAATAATAAGCATGATCATCTAGCTTGGCTCATTACTCTGTTTATCTAGTTAATAACTATATTATTTGTTTGTCAGGTCCTCATAATCCAGAACTGCCACATCCTATAATATTCAGAGGCGCCATATTTGCGGATAACGCTAGATTCGATAGATGCATAGACCTATGGTTACATGCTTTAGAATTAAGACAACTAAATGATCTATCTGTTATGACGGATCTTCTTCGATTCGCACAAGTGTTCTCGCAAATGATACATGTGGGTGTTTATCTAGATCTTTCTCAAGTGATAAACGTTCTGAATGCAAGCGTAACGAAATTGAATAGAAACAAAAACAAAATCCAGAACCCAGATTCTAAGGATGATCTCGATCAATATATTGTAAGTTTTATAAAAAATTTTTTATTTTTTCTATGGATTGTATTTTAATATACCATTGTATGTATTAATGCTGTTTGCATTCAACAAAATGTTTGATACTTAAAAATTTTTCTGTCTCGTTTATATACTTAATGACGTAGTCCAATTACTTGGCAAAAACGAAAAGAGTTGATGAATTATGTTGAATAATGCAAGCAATTGTACATCATTGTGACAAATAGAAATATGTTTCCATATATTTGAAATAATGTTTGTATAGGAAGAGATGGAATCGGACATTATAACGACTCTATATATTCTAACAATTCTGACGAAATTAATAACGCTTAATAGAAACAGATGTGACGAATCGGATTTAACACAAGCACATCATTTAGTACATAAATTATGTGCATTAGGAGTGTGCTTGAAAGATGGGCAGACTCTATTACATCTTGCCGTGAATGCTGAAACTCCTGTTGATGATTTTCATACTAATGATGTCTGCAAGTATGTCAAAATGCAACGTAAAATAACATAAATAATTAGAAACATATTAAATAAATTATTTGCTTGATTTCTAGATTTCCGTGTGCAGCTACGGCACAGTTATTGATTCGTTGCGGTGCTAATGTAAATGCAATGGATAACGAAAGAAATACTCCACTTCACATTATTGTTGGTTACAGTAAAGCAATTAGGTATGCTATTAAGATTATTTGATTTTATACTGATACAAATCATATAATTTTCTTATTTCTCTTTCCAGCGATTTTGCGACTTTACATTCAATTATAATAGATCTTATAGAAGCTGGAGCACATATGGATACTGTAAATAATAAAGGGCATACACCGTATGACATAGTCACTACGGGTAAGTTTATGGATTTTTATTGGTTTACGTATTTCACCGCTGCATATGAATTATTTGGACGTTATTCAATTTCTATTTCAGGTGTAGCTAAAATAATATTACGTACTCAGACTAAATTATCATTAACGTGTATGGCAGCTAGAGCAATTAAAACTTACAATCTGCCGTATCACGGTAATGTTCCACGTTCGCTCGAAAGCTTTATAGAACTGCATGGACCTGAACTCAATCAAAGTTGACAAATCTTCATTGCCACGAAGAATTGATATTTTGTACAAAGTATGTAATGCTTGATAATATTTTTGTAAAAATTACTAGATAATTCGAGTAAAATATAATATATAATATGTAATTTAAATATCTTGCATAAGATCGGAATCCCATAAATATTTTTAAAAGACAATGACGTGCCATTTATATATACTGTTTGTACAATTGTATAATGATTCGTGGAAGCTGTGTGAATTTTTACAATGCAGATCTTGATAATTCTTATTCTTGTTATTAATGATATACGCGTTTCTGATTATCGAAAATTGTTTTTTATATTAAATATTATAGACGGATAGATAGTATATTGCTGCATAGTCGCTACGTAAGCAAGTATTTAAATAATTAGGGCTATTGTGCATTCAATTTTTGCTGTCATTTTCAGTGATTTAAACTGTAATTACTCTGTGATAAATAAAATAAACTTTTCAAATTACGATCAGTTGTGTAAGCCTAGATGTTTTTTTATGTAAACGCATTTAACTATATTCTTGAAAACGCTCACTGCAAACTGGAAACACAGTAATGGTAATTGTTATGAAAGCGAATATAACTAAGACAATTCCTGATTTCGCTTAGATCTAAGAAAGTCCTCTGTAACTTCTCAATTATTTCTAAACATTAAGCTATGCATCAGCCTAAATTTAAAGGCATAAATTATACTTTTTTTTTGTTATTGCCATATTAAATTTATTTAATATTTACACACACTCTCTGTATACAATCGTAAAACTAAGAAAATAATGGTAAAATGTATAAGAATATACATGCGCACTTTACAACATATTATTTACAATGTTTACACAGACTCGTATACCTTATCTATTTTATACATTTTACAACGGCGCTCGCTTATCGATAACACTTCTGTACAAATATACACGTGCGTTCGAAATCTTTTGGCAGAAAAAGAGAAAGAAGAAAAATAAATAGAGTAATCCTTAGGCAGGTACAATCTATTCGCGGCGACAGGATTCACTCGCATCCGTTGCAATTGGAGAGAGGAAAGATGCATACTTTCCGTGGCTCCGTGTTAGGCGCGTAACCAGACACGCCGATTTACGCGTCTAATTTGCTGCCCTGTCCCTTTAGTCCTTTTAAAACATTGACGACAATATTGCGAAAGCGTTGGATACGCTCCAATAACTGCGGAGAGATGTCCATTCACGCACGCGCTTGCACAACAAACGCTTCCAAATGACGGTTGCCTTCGTTGATGCTTTATCGCGTGTAGAAGAGATATTTCCACATCGCTGAAATTACCATTAGTCAATTGTATATTTCCGACACGTGATTTCATTGCTTATTCGCTGAAGTGTTACAATGTCTCTCGCAGTGCGGTTATTGTAGTTACAATGATGCGCAATATTTGCCGACATTAATAATCGTACTTGTATCGCACTAGAGTTTCACACATCGCATTTTCACGAAATCCAATCGAAATCCCTGATGCATCAAGTGAGTTCGTGATCACGCGAGTATATAAAAAGATACACGTCACTACGTTTTTATTTTTATCACTCGGCACAAAAAACTTCGTTGAGATAATCATTAAAATCAGATATTAAAATTAATCGATTATTTGTCGCTTTGAAAATTCATATATCAAAATTATAGCTGTCACGTCGAGCTGTCACGAAATCAAATTTATTTTTAAAAAAAGACAAATACTTGAAGAAGACAAAGCTGTTTTGATCGATGGAATGTTCTCATTCAAAGTCCACATCGTATCGTATAATAAGACGTGTTCCGCAGATCTATTCGCAATATGTATTATGAATTAAATGCTTCGCGATTTTTTCTCATAAATAATACATAATTTACATCTTTTATAATATATTTATAAAACACTGTTTTATTCCCTAATAAATATATTTTGACACAATTAGGTGTCAAAATCAAATGTTCCAGCGATCAAATGTTCCGCGATCAGACTTAATTAGATTCCAATCATTATGCGGACCTTACACACTCAATATTGATTAATAATATTAAATAATATTAATACTGATAGTATTCAATGCATCAATACTCTTATAATCTTATATGACAATATTTCAGAGAGAAGCTCAATTTTATGTACTTACGTTACCTAATCTACAATCCAGAGAAAAAAAGTAAGACACATAAAAAAACTCTCAAAAATATGAAAACAGTATAAAGATATATACTGTGACATATTTATTGTTGTAGAATTATATTGATAATATACAGTGACATATTGATACGCTCTCTTTATATCATAATCAGATTATAATCAACATTCCTATTATATAACGAGACTGAAAGCTCGAGAATCAAGAAATCATCATCATCATCATCATCATCATTCTACATCAAATATTAACGATATTGTCAATATTTGTTGGTATTGACAGTATTATTGAACATGTAAAGTCCGCATTAAGAGAGAGAGGAGAATATTATCCAACCAAAGTATCGCTAGAATTTCATAGAATTTTGTTTGCATAAAGTAACTTCCCAAATTAAAAAATATCACTGATAAAGCATATTAATAAAAAATGCAGCAGAATTATTACACACCAAAAACACTTGTCGTGCACACTTGTTGTTTGTGTCTTCCGAAGTACTACGAAAATCCAAAATGAGATTAATCCGCAAAATTGTACTTCTTGGCCTTCACCTTCTCAAATAGAAGTTACTCCTACCGTTATTTTCTCAATTGGGCCTGCTTATATAAATGCTTTTAGCTACTCTCATCGCATTCTCAATAAAGTCTGGCAATGACCTGGTAACTATCGCGATTGTTGCTTAAATCTATTGCAATTCGCAATTGAATTTGATGATGAAAAGCTTCGTCAATCGTTCTTGATTAATTCATTCTAATAGCATATACGTAAAATAGAAACGCATTTTCTCATATAATCATATGATCGCATGACAAATGCAAATAGCGAGAAAGCAGTACGAGAAAAAATTCTTATTCAGAAAAAATCAGCTGATTTAAAGTAGAGGAAATAAACTACGAACGATTTGCACGATTAAGAGATATCGCTTGTTCGTCGGATCTCGATAGGTCAGTTCTAAATAGAGAGACTTTAGTAGTCTTTGACTTCAATTAAGGATGTAGAATATTTCTTAATCACAATGAACTCTTTCTTCTTTTTTTAAGTTAGAATCTTTTTCTTGAGCAGAATCTCTCTATTCTGGAACTAAATCACTCTTCTATGCTGAAATCTCTCTTCAATCGTCACTTTCATTAAGCATTTCATACTCATACGTCTCGTGATAAATATGTAATGCGAGAGAAAAAGAAAAATTTCAGCATAGACAAGAGAACAGTTGTCTCAAAATAGAGAGTTTGTATCACATAATTATTAACGGAATCAGGTTGAAATAAACATGATTATTATAATCGCTTTTAATTAAAAAAGATGAGTGAATAGAGTAGATATTCTAGACAAGATCTTAGAATACTCGGTTCAATGATCCCTTAAAATAGATCAATTATTTTTATATTTAAGGATAATTTTCAATTCATGCAAAAACTTCGCGGAAACCAGAATCCTACAAGAAATCTTTCTCGATATAACAATAAACTTTTCTCAATTTCATTCGCGTCATCATTTAACAGAAATATAACGTTATTTCGCGTTTACTTTTACTTTATTATCGTTTGTCACATCTAGCAACAGATTACCGTATTTATCGTGCACTGATGGTGAATTTTTTTTCTTTTTTTTTTAAGTATAAACAATTTATACTGTCTGTATTCATTCTTATTTAATACATTGGCAAAAGTAGTGGCAAGCGCATAGAAAACATGAATCAATCTGCAGGTGAATGAAATATCTCTTTATCTCTTTTCGTTTCCTCCCGTTCCACCGTGTCATTTTACGGCGATCGATTCCTCGAGTCGAATACGACATATCTCACGTGCCATTGATCAAAAGAGAGACCGTAATAATCAAAAGCAACTCAACGGCAGCCGCATCCGAGGACCGCCATATCTTGATAATTCTTCAGCACTACTTTATTCTCCTCGTCGAGATAAAGCATCGATATCGAGCTGAGCGCGGTCGGCACGCAACATGCCTTCGGCACCATACTCGGCTTGGTCGAGTAAACGAGCGTTTGCACGATCGCGTGATTCGTCGAGTTCAGATGGTCCGCCAGAGGAAACGGGCAATCACCGTGGCAGTAGAAGGCGTCGTATCCGGGCGGCGCGACGATCCAATCGTTCCAGCCGACGTCCGCGAAGTCCACGTAGAGCGGATGCCGCCGGCAATTCTCGCGGCCGTCCTTCCGCCGGTTCTTCCGCAGGGCGGCCCGCCTGGCCCGCCGGTCCATTATCTGATCCGCGGATGCCATCTCGTAACGGCCGTCGTCCGTGTACGTGTAGAGCATCGGCCGGCTCACCACCCACGCGTCCTTGTGCTCGTCGGCTGCCCGCCTGAGCCGCACGTGTTCTCGTGTGCGGGTGAGCGCAACGGTCACGTGCACCAACAGCCCGTGATTATCCTGATGATTCTCCATCCATCTCACCACGGCTGGTTGCACGTCCAGATTGACCGTGGCGTTCTTCGTCGCGTCGATCACCTTGCTGTCGATCAGCCGCAATATCGGCTTACTGCGACCCCTCACGCCGGGCCGTATTATGTCGTACACCAGCACTCGGCCACGCTTATACTCGCCCTCGGTATCGGGCACTGCGACGCGCGTCAGACTTAATTCCGCTGCCTGCAACGTTTCGCCGTTAGGTATCCTGCTCAGGTCGAAGGATAATCGAAAACGATTTGGAGATTGAAACTTGCGGTCCAGATCGCTTTCTGGAAAGAAAGAATAGAGATTAAAGATATCGCGCAACGAACACTCATACGCTGAGGGGAAAAAAATGCTATTGAATCAACAGCATTTTTTTTCTCAGTGTATAAACTTACTGGGATGTAAATAAATAGCCTTAGCTAAAATCAAACAGAAAGTGCAATATAAATATTATATATTATATTAATAATAATTAAGAGAAAAATATAAACAAGGAAAGGATAATTTTGCTAGATATATAAAAATTTCGTCAGAACTGAAAATAATTTTGTTGAACTATTAAAATAATTACGTAGGATGCCTACGATGTTGGAATATCAACATTTTTATTTTATTATCATCATGCTTAGACGTCTTATATAATAATAATTTTAATAATCGATATTCAATACAATTATTTTCAGATCTGTATCTAAATTTTATACATTTTAGCAAAATCATTCTTTTCGTAATTAAATCGAACGTGCTTTAATCTAAGATATAAAGATTCAAATTAAGAAAGAAAGAAAGAAAGAAAAAAAATAAGCTTACATATAACGCAAATAACAAAATTACCCCCGAGTAGAATTCATGTTTTTAGATATGCTTTCCACGAATCTTTTAAAGTCGTTTCTCAGACGTGTTATCTCATAGATTGCAAGCGAATTAAAAATAAATCATGGATTTTGTGGGGAGGCTGCTTAGAAATTCAGAGAAGGTGATTCTTTGAATTTCCTGTTCGTCGTGTCGGCGAATTTATTAAACATGTTTATTATCTTACGACATTTATATTAATAAGGAGTGCCGCCGGAATAGTTTTCCGTTCGCGTGACCCACGCCAATATTTTACGACGCGTGAAACGCGCACGTAATTTAAGTTAGACGCTTCTACGAAAATAGCTAATAATGTTCAATGTGTGACGCAGTTGCTTCTCAGACGGCTTGGAAACAGTGAATGCAGCTTGCAGCCGTATAGACGCAGTTGTAATGCATATGTAAATTTCGTAAGACGTTGCTGAATCTTATAATATATGCGCACGCTTATTCAACGCCGGTCAACATGCCACATACGCAGAATCTAGCAATTTCTATGGAAGCAACGTAATAAAAACATCAAAGAAGTTCTCAGTCACAGCTTTATATAATTCAGTCCAAATTTCTGGTAACAGAATATATTGGCTGTGTTCCGTAAGATGTGTATGCGCACATTTTTTTTACAATGTACGTGATATGAACTGTAGATAAATGTGTCACACATTTTACGAAATCTAAACATTGGCGAAATACACATATATATATATATATATATATATATGTATATATGTAAATAAATATTATTATTATAATTAAACACAATTCCCGACTTCATAGATCGTGTAAAATTTCGTAAATTGTATTTTTTCAATTATATTTGTTAAATTACATATAATTTAATTATATACTAATTTGCCATCTGTCAACAACATTAAATCTTCAATCTTTTTAATTAATAAAATAATATAAAATTGTACAAATGGACAGGTTGAAATTCTTATATTGAAGATACATAAAAATGATTAAAAATTTCTAATGTAACGTAACGTTTATTTATAACAATTAAAAACGATAATGTCAGTACGGCACGATGTCAATGCAAATACAATAACTACACTTCTATCAAGATAATTGATCAAGATGTATCGAATTTCTGCCCGGTCGCTTTCCATTGCGCATCTTCCTTAATTGCTCTCAGCACTTTCTCTTAAGTTATGTCATTCCCGTAAACTATTCCTATGCTTATTGTTGCACTGTTCAGCTTCAAAATCGTTTCAAACAGTTGCTAACGGCAAGAGATTCGAAGAACAATTGATCGGAATGTCGACTCATCGAAGCTAATGTCCGGATGTGAATCATTGGAACGGAAGCTTTTGAGACCTTTCGAGAGCAAAAGGTAAAATCGGCGGTTCGAGAGTCCCTTCGGACGTTCCTAGGTGGTCTCATCATCAAAAGATAACTCTTACAAAAGAGATTAAACATATAAGAAGCCAGATCCCTTTTTCTTTTGTTGCCGAAGCACTCTGAGACAATCGAGTGCGGAGCCCACGGCACGTTCCCGGCAATCATTGTGGTCGAAAAAGCCCTTTGTCGGTCGAAAAACCATGAAATAATTCGAATGCCATTCTGTTTCCTTTTCACACAGAAGACGAGTCGTGTGGATGTGATATATTACACTTGCAGGCATATAGAATGGAATATCATAACGGATCACGATTATCTCTAAAACACTATTTTTTGATTAATTAAAAAACTATAAAAATTAAAAACTAAAAGGTATTTTGCCAAAAATTCAACATTCTTTCAAATTGCATACCATTTGTTCACTGTTCTGCGGTAAAAGAGAGAGGCTAAATTATTTAGAAGATTTTATACAAGATTCACCAGTTAATCAGAGGATATATTATTTGTTTATAATTAAATAAATTGCGATTGAGATTTGTATACTTTTTACATCTGAAATTAAATCTTTTAAGGTATATTATTTCCGCTGAATGATTATATGTATTTTTTATGGGTAGGTAGGATCACATATTTCCTGCACGGCTTGAAATAAACCTTAATGCCTACAATTATGCCAATTAGACTAATTACGTCGGTTATGCTTAAACCTGTAATTTATCGGATAATGCCTTCCCGAAATTATGCGCGACTAAGAAATTCGGATAAATGAAATGAAATGAAGGAGAAGAACATCATTTATATACATCACAATCATTATTGTTGCATTATTCTAGATTGTTCGAAAGTACAAGTGACGTATGTAATAACAATATACGTTGTTGACATGTTGATATTTAATTTATTGATACGAAAGCGAGTGACCTCGGAAATCCGATCGCGCGCGAAATCGAATATGAAATTCGAAATGACGCCGAAAGAAAGTACGGAATTATTGAATCCTATCGCTCAAAGATTTGTCATCCACGTTTGTCGACGATTGAGAGGGAATGATATAGAGGGAATGACGATTGATAACGGGCGCACATTGCATTCCGTTTACTAGTTCACTTTCACTGAGAGTCGAAAGAGTCGCCAACCTGTTTTCGAATTATGAATACCAACTCGCTAATATCGTTCGCTTCTTATCCATCGTTCAATGATTCACGATTTGCGAATGCACAGTAGTGATTTATCCACGCGTGTACCGATAGAATCAATCTTTGTTCACATATTTGTCATTTTAGAATGATAATATACAAAGAATATTTATATCTAGACATGTGTCATTAACGTACGTGTCATAATCACTGTCTCTATTGCGAAGCTGTCGACAAATAATTAACAAACAGCTCAATTTTTTAATCCCGCCATTACAATTTTTTTCCGAGACATCCACTATCGTTTATCGTCGATAGATGTTACTTAATATTCAACTGTTCTGATATTGTTAATTCTCGTAATAAATCCATATTTTATCGATAACATACAAAGAAAACAGTTTTATTGGCAAATCTAAAAATTTAACCGTATACAGATTTGAAAATAATGTTGAACCATCAAAATTATTATGTAGAACGTTTAAGCAACAATAACAGCGCAAACATTTTTGATCTTCTAGTAACCAAACTGAATCTCGTACATAATAATTTTGAAGTTCCAAAATTATTTTCAAATCTGTATCCGTATTTGGCCAATTTGTTAGATTTACCAGCAACTTGTTCTTTCTGTGTGAATAGATATAGATCTAGACTTCCCAAAAAAGTAATAAAAACCAAACGAGCTATCACGTATCATCGAATTATTCGTCAAAATGCAGCTACGTTTATCGATCGTACTCAAAATTTCGATAAGAGAATTTCAAATTTATTTGTAAAATTATGCGAGTTTTTTTTCCCTCTCTTTACCTTCCGCTCGTAGGGAGAGTAAAAGAGAACCTTTCCATCGTCAACTAACAAAATTCAACTTACCGATGTGAGGGAATGAACGGACGGTATTAGCCGATCGCGCGTGAATGCCCGGCTTCGCGATGTCCGCGGTGCCGAGGCTGTTTTGACGAGCGTGGAGCTTCCTGAGCGATTCCGGGACGTATGGCTGGCCCTGCGGGTTCGGTCTCTTGTTGAAGCCCAAGAGCGAGAGAAGGGTAGCTTCCATCCCAGCGATCATCTGATCGTGTTTCGTTCCGGAGCGATACGACGACGTCGTCGTCGTCGTCGAGGACGACGACGATGATAACGATGACGTCGGCGTCGTCGACGACGAGGTAGCCGTGTCCGAGTCGATGCGTAAGCGCGTCTCCGCGTTAGCATTCGCACTTGCTAACAGCGTGACTGCTGCCACGAGCACTAACCCCAGCGGCGGCGACATGCGCATCGTGACGTCGTCACTCACTGACGTTACCTCCCTGGAAGCACGAAAAAAAAAAAAAAGAATTACAGTTAAAATGACAACGGTTAAATGACGACGGTTGGATTATCTAGGTTCTAAATTGAATTTTGCTTCGTCGAAAGAATCATTTCTAATCGTTTCGGAAGAGATTTCTTCGGTCTCGCTACTACTGAAGATCATATCGTCCCGTGTGGGGAGAAACCCGTTATTCGATATATTACCCAATATACATCGACTTACTATCGTAAATCAGCTCCGCATTGTGTGACCGGGGACGATTAACGAGCGCGCGATCATGTCACGTTTATCAATCTCTATCGTGTGGTATTTTTATATATTTTACTCTTTGTAAATTTTGTTTTGATTATGTACGGAGAAAGTGATTAGGCTCAATATTCTTACGGTCGGTTTCGATAGCAACTGGAATCGGATCTTCTACCAGCTGGTCTCCTACAGATGGGTTCGGGAAGATACTAGAGGAAACACCTTTTACCTAGCAGGACGACAGCAGGACTGAAGAGTTCATTAAGGAATGCACTCTGCCTGAAGAATTTGGGGAAGGGATGGGGGACCGAGCTTTTGAGATAAATTATAATTCCTGTGGCAATGGTTGTATTAAACTTGAAACAACCAATGCGAAAGCTATGAGTCACGCCATGCAGCTTTGTGTCAAAGTGAAATATTTTGACGGTAAAATATTTTACTTCTTCATGAAAAATTCCTCAACTCTTCTTCCTTACTTTAATATGGCGAGAGAACACGCAGTAAAATTGAGACATTAACGAAAACATATAAAGGCACGAATTCAGTAAACATTTGTGAATAGTCTTGTGATAAATTTTTAATTAAAAAATTAACGTGTACTAAAGTGCCGCAAAATCAATTAAATTAATTAGTCCTGCGCTTTTTCATGGCGGTTTGTATGCGTGAAAAAAAGATCGTACAAATTTCATTTGATTTTATATTAATTTTATGAGGCTTCTTGAAGTCTAGCAAAGACTACCGAAAATTTTACTCGATGGAGCTGCATAATGATTCTCTGAGTCAGCATTAAAGCAGAGGAAGAGCAGGCCCAGGGCCCGATCTGATTGGTCATCGGTTCCTGGGCCCGCCAATGGATGTGGAGGGATTCGTCGAATCAGGCTCTGTTTCAAAGTAATCGCTTTCTCTTACTCTCGAGTGGATTTTTTTACGATCTTATATACGGTGATTCGAAAATATCTTCGAGGCCTTGCGGGATGGATTAGACGAACAAAATTAATGGGAAAGTCACAGAGGTGATAAACCTCGCGTAAATCATTATACGAATTTGTTTTTATTTCCTCATATATTTTCATATAATTATTCAGGAGATACATTCACCTTCCATAAAATCACCTGCCGATTAAGTCGATATTTAATTGAGAGTGCATGCATGCCTAGCTGAACATAATTGTTTCTGGCTAGATTTAATAACTTGATAGCTAGCTTGTGCTCTATCGAGTGATTTCTTTCTTTATTATTACCAACAGTAAAAGCATTGATAAATGCACAGAAAAAGAAGTAAATACGTGTGCGAATGATATTTTATAAGATACTTTATAGAGTTTAAATATCACGTAATGAACAGATAGAAAATCAAGATTTCATAACAGTACATAAATAGCTCATCAATATCCACTTATTTGTAACGCAAAACTTTTATGATTTTCGATACGATTTTGCGTTGAAGAAAGATTAATAAGACTATAAATTTTAACTTGAAACTCGCAGCAAAGACACGCGCGAATATTTTATTAAAAATACTGGAACTCGCCATGAGTGGAAAATCTGGTCGTTTAAAGTCAATAACGATGAAGCAATCGAGCAAACGGATCGCGATAAATTCCGATCCGTAGAAGCCCCGCGATGGGGGTTTAGATGTCGCGTCAAAGCGAGAGTGATTTATCCCACTCGCCTGCCTTTTTTTTTTCGTCACTTTAATCGAGCTTTGTTTGAGCTTAAACACACGCGATTTATTTACATTCGTAAGCGTATCCCCGGATACGGAAAGATCGCGAGGCGCGACTTCGCGAGTCATCTGACTCATCTGGATCGCGTTCGCCATCTGGAGCGTAAGTGTAGTCGGGCTCCGTTACGAGCTCGCGGCGGAATAATTTCGGAATTGATCGAACAATGTTGCGCCGTGACATACTTGCCGCGTGCATTAACGGTAGAGTTCCGCCGGTCGACCGGACGAAACTGGTTTTATCCGCGATTTTAAGCGCGCGTGTTTCTCAAAGGCGGGATATTTATGCGCGCCGCGGCTAGGCTCTCGCAGCGCATTATCGGTGGATGCTTGAACGGATACGTATTCCCTTTCCCCTCCTTCTACGCCCCCTCTCTACGGTCACACTCTCGATTTCATTCAGTGTAAAATGCTAAGATTGACAAAACGCCTTCCTCTGTCAAAATGGATTGTCATACCATAGGGGATTTTTCCGGATTTTTTATCGCGCGCACGCGCGAGAGAGAGAGAGAGAGAGAGAGAGAGAGAGAAGCCTTTGCTTCGTTATATGATCTTCTAATTTAAATCTAGATAATACTAATCACTGAACGCAAAAAAATTATGAATATAAAGATATATCATTCTTCGACATAAAATTTTGGATTTTTACTTTCACGACTTTTCTCTTTCTCGATCGCGAAAGAGTTATGATAAAAAATCCTTATTATCCCTGATAAAAACTCTGGAACCTCCACTATCGTGACTCGACTTTACATATATCAAAAAATTTCATGCTATTTATATATTAATTATATGTTGTTGCTTTAGTTTGAATTTTGTGATAAAAAAGCGTCTCGTTAAAATAAATTGAGATTAAAACACTGTAAGTTCAATAAAAAAAATCGTGATACAAATACTCCGCAAGTAAGTGACAAGGGAGCCGCGAGAAAAGAAGTTCTCCGATAGACACATCTCGGCGACATGAAATTCAATATGGAAAAACGCAGGACATTCGAATGAATCATAACACGTAATGAATATACATTAAGATGTATTATTGACAACATACCACTTCTCGTAATTAAACATGATATTTTCCTCTTCTCCTCTTGTTTTATAAAACAAGCACATAATGTTGCGGCACGAGTTCCCGGTATTCATGCACGCACGGTCTTCTCATTAACAGCAATGCTACACGCACGTTAATTAT